GGTAGCTCCATAGGACCACCCCGCACGCATGTCGCAACAGTCGCTGGATGAGTATAAGCAAGCCAGGGCTGGAGCGCTACAGCAGCCACACCTCGCGCATCAGGAGTTATATTTTCGGGAGCAGCGTAACCTCAAGAGAGCAGCGCCGAGCCCAACGGTCAGCGGACTGACCACACCGCAGGAGCAGGCGGCGAATGTTTTTACCAGCGAAGCCACACCGCAGGAAGGAGACACCTTGGTGCAGCCTGTTTTCCTTGAGGATCAGACCGCCCTACAGGCAGTGGCTTCGGATTTTGGGGTCAATGTGAATGATCCTGCAGCAGTGGAGGCCTTTTACCAGACCCCGGTCCATACCGCCTCGGATGTCATCAAGCTTGTCAGAGGATATCACAAGAAGGTGATCAGACCGGAGATGCTGGGCCTGGTTGCTCAACTGGAGCATGCTGTGAAAAGGGTGAGCGATTCGGTGTTTCAGTGCCAGCAGGAACTCCAGTTCATGGTCACTGAAAATCGCTCCAGCCAAAAGCACGCCTCTGGAATGATGCTTGTGACAACGGGGTGGCCGAATGGTATGAATCCTCAGCAACGGCTATACATGATTGGCTGGATGCTAGGCCAAACCGCCGAGATTATCCAGTACTTGCAGAACAGAGGACTTTTGGAGGCTCAGTATGACCCGGACAAGATCACACCGCAGTTCTGGCTGAACGTGCTCCAGAGTGATCCAACCACAGTGCCGCAGTCGGGTGGGTTCTATAGCGGAATGACACTTTTGTCATTTCGCTCATGGGACCTACGATCAGCTTTTCTGAAGAAGTATGGCGGCCAGAGCGGGGTTCCACTATATGTGGACCCGACCACACCGCAACCTGGGAAGCATATTCGGGTTGCACCGTGCACACCGCAGTGGCAGAGGAAATTAGAGTCCCCGTTGAGAGTTTTAATTGCGGCTATCAATGCCCACCCTGACACTCAAGGGCAGCAGATTGTCATCCTTTGGAAAACTTTGACAATCATGCAGCCAACTGAGGACAGGGATTTTAGGCCAGACCGCATTGCTTGGGCACGGCTGTGGTACGAAGAACAGGGTGGCACTTTTGTCGGCCGCCTTGAGGTCCACACCGCCTTCGCAAGACTTTTGATGGGACCACCCCTCACAGATGACTCCACGGAGGAGTCACTCTGGTCAGAGGTGTGGAATTCCACGATGTGGGGTTCCCAGCTGGAGTTGGATCAGGCAGAAAAGCAGGCGTATAATGCGGCAAAGCTGCAGAGCCATACCTCCGGGAAGGGTGTGAATTTCGGCAAAGGCCGAAAGCATTGGTCACACGCCCTGCTACACAACTCCACATACAGCCCCTATCCGTTTCACCTCAATTTTGTCGGCACGGACCACATCGCATATGTGTGNNTACTGTGACAAATGCGGGCAGGAATCAGAGAAAGTGGGAAGCTACGAAGTGGCAACCTACTGCGGCAAACCAGCCTACGACCACACCGCAGATGATTCCGAGATGCCCGATGCATCCGCTCCCAGTACAGCAGCAGCACCGGGTGCTGCCACACGCCAGCGTGAAGCCAAGGCTGGCAAGGGCAGGGGCGCTAAGGCCACACCGCCCTCTGCGTGAAGTGTTCCCTTGTGCACGCGCACCAGCTCCCCGGGCCACACCGCCTGTGAGTTGGTCGAGTGGAAGCCTGAGCAGAGCGCCGCCCCTTTGAAATTTTATCAAGCAGGCGCCGCTCAGGGCACCACTCCCTCTTTTGCCACTTTTCCTTGGTGGCCGTTTAATTCAGCGCTCAAGCTGGCAACGATTTCCGCAGCCAGACCGCCCAGCCACACCGCACAGGACGGTTGGAGCATAGTTTTGCAGCGGGGCAGAAACGCAACCCTTCACTCCCTCAACGGCAGCACTAAACTTTTAATCACCCCCTTAGGTCCACACCTCCAAGCCAAAGCCCAGCTACAGCTAAACACCCTTATACCACCAAGCCAGAGCAGCCCCAGGATAGCCCAAACTGCCCCCCAATATCCTCGTAGCTTCCTCCTTCAACTTCAAGCCCAACTTAAAACGCCACCTTCAGTTGCAGCCTCCTTTTTGCCCCCAACCCTAGTGAATAGAAGCCTCCTACCAGTACAGTCCATACCGCAAGCACAGGGCTCCGCCCACACCGCCCCACCAACCAGGTCGGGAAGAAGAATTAGATATCAAACCCCAAAGGGGATTTTTGTCGTCTATAGATCTAAGAAAAAGAAACACAAAACACAGTTTCACACCTCAATTCAGAATTCAAGAATTAAGAATTTGAACCTGGAAAAGTCGCGAACACCGCCTCCACGAGGCGNNTTTTGGCGAACGAAGAGTGTTCCCCACACAAGGGCGGTGCAAATGTGGGGGCAAGGGGCGCCAAGAGTCGACGGACCCGTCGCCGGGCCTATCGACAATGGCGTGCTTACCACAATCAATGCTTGACTCAGGGGGCGGACTCCCAGGGGTCACACCGCACTTTGTCCACAAAAGCCACTCAAACAAGAGCGAAGTGGTACCGGCAAAGCCTGTTTTGGCAGGCAGCAATCCCCAGAAAGAAAAAGCCACAGGTTGAGAAACCCAGGACCACACCGCCTTTATCCTATAACTCGAAGTTAAGGATAGGGGCATTGAATGTACAGGGTATGGCTGACACACTCAAGCTTAAATCCATTCTTCAGCTCATGGACTCACATAAGCTAGGTGTTGTCACTCTAAGTGAAACCAGAAGCACTTCGTACTACTCATATTTATCAGAACAACGCCTTGTCATCCTCTCGGGTAACACCAGGGATAAGTATGCAGGAGTCGGTGCAGTGGTTCACCCCAAGCTAAGGCCACACCTTGTAGATGTTGTCCAGGTCAACTCTAGAATCATACATCTTATTTTCAACAAACAAGGAGGTAGAATACACATCATAGGGTGTTACGCCCCACACTCAGGCCATGACCTCGAGACAGTAAGACAACCATTCTGGGACACCCTAGAGGAATACACCGCAAAGATCCCCCAACCCGAACCGCTTTACATTACTGGTGATTTCAACGTAAGATTACAGGCACAACACAAGAATGACCAGGGGGTTACAGGCCCGTATGTGTACGGTAAAGGTTCCAAACACATCGACCACACCGCCTCCTCCAACAGAAGTCTGTGTGTGCGATCTATGTTGCTGCAGGGTATGGTTGAGGTTGCTTCTTACAAGACCCCCAACCCAGTACATCAAATCACATACAGAGATAAGGCTGCACCCCCCACGGACTGGAGTCAGTTTGTGTTGGACCCCCTCATCATGCAACAATTCTACCAGAAGCTACAACAGCAGGAAGCCACACAGGCACTCAGCATTGCAGCTAGGGTTCGGTCCTTTCTGCCACTGGACACACCTTTACCTCCACCACAGAAGCACCCACACCCTGACCCCACCCGCTTTCAGTGCTTGGACCACACCTTCACTAGAAAGCAGTGGCTACCATCTATCAACTCCTGTCGTAGTAAACTCCACACAGGTTTCCCTTCGGACCACTACTTGCTAGTCACAGAGATACAAGTCAAACTAGCGCAGAGACTCAAGCCAACGCCACCAAAGCCCAAACTCAACCTAGCCCAGCCCACCGCAGAGCAACAGCAAGCATTTAACGACGCCTTGCGTGAAGTCCTAGGCGAAGCCCCCAAGACCACACCGCCAATAGACCATACCGCCAGGATAGTGTTCTACACGGACGGTTCGGGATCTAGGGGTAGGTGCTCCCAACACACCCCAGCTGGCTGGGGATGGTGCGCGCCGCAGGGCGATGGATGGATAGAAGCGTGCGGGCCAGTCATTACATCACCAGACCACACCGCCTTTCTAGGAGCCAACGTAGGTTCTAACAACACGGCAGAGGTCAGCGCAATAATAGAAGCACTTCTATACGCCATTGAAATGGAATACACCAGGGTTATCATCCACACTGACAGCACATGGGCTAAAAATGTAATATTAGGAAAGTGGAAGCCCAAAACCCACAAGACTCTGATACACAACGCCAAGAGACTACTTAAGACCACCGGAATGCATATCACCATTGAGTGGACCAAAGCGCACGTCGGTACAACAGGAAATGAAAAAGCAGACCGACTCGCAGAGCAGGGAAAACACAGTGCGGATGCACAAGGCGGACGAACGCAACCGCTTACAGCCGACACAAGACGCGCAACCATCGGGCAAAGCGCTCCCAAGGATTTAGCGTCAGCTGCGCTACAGGCGGCCAAAAGCACATTTCATCCACACCGCAGGAGAAACAAAAAACCCTGGATCACGGACCACACCCTGGCGCTGCTGGAAACCGCAAAGAGGGCGGAGGCTGAGCAAGCGGACAACATGAAAACACTCCGCAACCAAGCCAAAAGAGCAGCACGCAAGGACAGAGTACAATGGATACACGACCAACTTCAGTCGGACCCCTCTGCGCGCAAGGACACCTGGACCACCATCAAAAATCAGAAAAGAGGATTTGTGGGCGCAAAGAAACACCTTATCGTGGATGGAGTTCCGCAGCCATGGTCCAAAACGCATGTAGCATTTAGAAATCACTTACAGAACAATCAGTGGGCCGCGCCCAACATCGATGACGCGACAGCAGAGCGCAGGGACAACAGACCACACCTACACGCAACATTGCCTAACGAAGAGCTCTTTGAAATGCAAGACCTGGACAGCGCGCTGCAAAAACTTAAGAAACACAAGGCCACCGGACCAGACCTCATCCCCAATGAAGTTTGGCTTCTATTGGACGAGGAAAACAAGCTCCTGCTCCTGGAGTTGTATAATCACTCTTGGAGCGCAGGGACCATACCGCAATCATGGGCAGAAGCTATAGTTGTTTCCATATACAAAGGAAAAGGCGCAGACACCGATCCTTCCAACTATCGCCCTATTTCGCTGCTAAATACAATCTACAAAATCTACGCAGCGATGCTACAAGCCAGACTGAGCGCGCAGGTAGAGCATAGACTCAGGGATACACAGTTCGGCTTCAGAGCGCGCAAAGGCACCAAACATCCACTTTTCATACTTAGAAGAGCCATGGAATGGTCGCTCATGACGTCCACACCGCTACACATTCTATCCTTAGATTGGAAACAGGCATTCGACTCATTGGACCATACCGCCATGCTCAGCGCTTTAAAACGATTCGGCTTATCAGAAGCTATGTTGTCCTCTATCAAGTCTATTTATGAAGCTCCCACATTTACAACCAGAGGACCCCAAGACCATACCGCAGAGGGCAAAGTTAACGCAGGTATTAGACAAGGATGCCCGCTCAGTCCATACCTTTTTGTCATAGTACTTACAGTAGTGTTCGCGGATGTAGATGAGGAGTTGTTGAACCGTGGCACGCCCACAAACACGTGGTCCGCAATATACCCGACCTGGAATACGCAGATGATACCCTTTTAATGGCCAGGACCATCCCGCAACTGCAGTCATTCCTATCCACCGTAGAATACATAGCACAAGAATATGGTATGAACCTAAACACCACCAAAACAGAACTGCTCCTTAAGGACCCAGATGACAAACCTGATCTCAAATTCTGTAACGGGGACAGGGTTCAGACCACACCGCAGCTCAAGTATCTAGGATCCCAAATTTCGTGGACCCACCCATTCCAGGTCGAGCCAACCTAGCAGAGGAAGCCTATAAGAAGCTTAGATTGGTATGGAACTCCCGACTCCCAGTTAAAACCAAGCTTCGGATATTCAGAACCACCTTTGTCTCCATACTTATATACGGATTAGACGCCATTACGCTTACGGACAAGGACCTTAAGAGAATAGATGGATTCTGGTTTAGGTTTCTGAGAAGAATCGTAGGTATTAAAGCGTCGTACTACTCAAGGGTTCCCAACACAGAAGTATACCTCAAAGCCAACAAGCCGGAAAAACCCTCAACCATATTGCAACAAATCCAATTTAAAACCATGGCTGAGGTATTTAGAAGCGAACAGACCACACCTCTCTATACTGTAGTGTTTGCCCCGCCCTACAAAGACCGTATCCTCAACACAGGTAGACGCAGAGGGATGCAATTTCCATATTGGTTGGAGGTCATAACTAAGAGGAATTACCCAGA